AGCGCCGTATTTGGCAAATTGGATGGCAGTCTCAGCGCCGATACCTGATGAGGAACCGGTCACCAGAACTACTTTACCCGAAAATCTGTCACTTCTCGACATAATTTGAATTTGAATACAAGTTTATGAAAATAAAACCAATGAATACAATGAAAAATGTTCTGAAAGTATCTGCAAATTCTCACTATTTATATGAGAAATATAGTTTTGGTGCAAATTTGCAGTGCAAGAGGACTTTCAATGCCATTGGCAAGTTCTGTAGTTATTATTAATAAATGAGTATTTACAGTTATATTGTACTGTACATTATTTACCAATGAATACTGAGCATTTAGTTCTAGTGGACTCATTGAATGATCACTGATTTGTACGAATTAAAACCGGTCTTAAAATGCACTGTACTGGCTGCAATTACAGTACTGTCGCTTTGATTTATTCATTCAATTGCCGTATGATATTTCAATCAAAGTTTTATTCAACAAAATCTACAGTATATTTCTAAAAATACGTTATATTTTTGTATTCAATTTAAAACTTAAATATATAATTTTGATTAAAAAAATTAAGTCTTGTTATTCATATTTTTGTATATTTAGTTTAAATTCTAACACTAGTGAAATTAAGTGAAAACCATTGATAACATTTTTGATAACAAAATTGATTATTTTCATTAACCTAATTACTGTGTTTTAAATTTTTTGCTGATAATTTGTGTAAATACTATCCAAATATAAAATTTCAGTAAATAAGTAGCCATTAAATTGGTGTCCGATTTCTAATTAATGTTTTATCATTAGATAATAATCTTATATAAACTGAATATTCAGTTACAACAACATAACAACAACTTCTAATCTCGTACTAATCCCAAAGTTAATCCCAAAGTTAATCCTATGGTCTAATTTATCGGTGAGTTGTTTTCTATAAATCTAGTGATCACTAGTAAAACAATTATATTTAATTACTAAAAACCTGTGTGTCGTTTCCAGAAAATACTATCAAATCACATGCTAATAATAATTGTAATAATAAATATAAAGCTTAATAAAATGTTTTTAGAAATGCTTACGGTATAAAATCCTATTTTGAATAAAAAAAAGTAAAATACAATTAATTAAGAACTGTTAATAATCACTGAACTACAGTTAATTTTTAAAATATTCCTATTTTAAAATACATATGTATAAATTATACAGTATAATACTGTATTGAAGGTTTTAAAAGATAAATCATTTGTTTGATTTGGTTTGAATGAGAGATTTATATGGGATTAAGATTTTGAAAAAAGGATAACGAGTGCAGTCATTGTAGTGTACAGTATATCGCGGCGAACCTTCGAGAAGAATCGAGATATTAATGATACAGTAATAACTAGGCTTACGTTTACTGTTAACTTGAACTACCAGTGCATTGAATACTGTATGACAGGCAGAGAGTTAGGTTAGGTTTGGTTGTAGCGATAGTTTGCAAACTGCACACAAACAGCGCTTTAAATGCCTTTTCATATGGTTTTGTAAACACAACACACAATACAATGCATTGACTGATGAGTGAATCGTCCACTCGTTTCACAGACCAGTCATTGAGTTATGATTTGATTGACTCCTCAATGAGTTATTGAATTGTATTTCAATATAGCATTGAATATATCATTCAAACCAATGCTTTACTAATTCAGTTATCATCCACTCATAAGTGTTCATAAAATGATGTTTTACCACAACTCAAGGTTTCATTCATACAAACCATTCACGTCTTCAGTGGTCACTAATATTGTCTTTGATTTCATTAACCATTTAGTAATCAACTAAACGATGGTCTGGTCCGTCATCTGAACGGTTGGTCACAAGTGGTTCCCATATCGATGCCGTGGGCGGCAAACACTGTCACCTCTACCACAACCACCGCCACTCCTATCAGTAACCCACATATGATGGCCACCGCCGAGGGAGTCAATTATCAGCCAAATGTGATGCACTTCACGGCCAACACATCTGAGACACCAATTAATCCATCACTTGTTCCATATAATCTTCAGCCAACTGTGGATACTTTGCCCCCAAAGGACTGCCCTTTGGATGTGTTATGTCCCGATCCGTGCACTTCACAGACGGCCACCCGTTGGGAGCTCTTGCATAACATGACAACCAATGAGAGCCGTCGTCCATCGCACCAACACCTCAAGAGACGTAACGATAGCTCGGATGAGGAGTACGATGAAGACGGTCTCCGACGACCTGTTAAGCAGTATATCAGCGAAGAGAAAGTGTCGGCTATTTTTA